TATTAAACGCGGTGGTCATGAATACGTTTACTAGTAAAACTATTAACAAGATGATTATCAATATTTCATCCTCGGTAGCTATTGAAGCGCGCGTTTGTATGGGCCAATATTGCTCGGTAAAAGCGGCACGAGAAATGTACTTTAAGGTATGTGTATTTTTTAATATGCTGTATCGCTGTGTTATAAGACATAAAATAGATATTATATTTCTTTTATGCATTTCTCTTCGTACAGGTCTTTGCTTTGGAAAACCCAGATGTTGACGTGCTAAGTTACTCACCGGGACCTATTGACACGGATATGTACAAAATAGTATGCGAAAATATGGCTGATTCAAAATCTAAAGAAATGTTCAATGAGATGAAAGAGAAGGGAATCGTGTTGACTACAGAACAGACTGTCAATCGTCTTGTGCAAGTCTTGAAAAAACATAAATATAATTCGGCCGATCATGTGGATTATTACGACGAGTTGTAATACTCCATATGTATGCGAGTTGTAGTATTCCATATGTTGTAGTACTCGAGTTGCAGTACTTCATATGTAGGGAGAATAATATTTATAAAAAGAAAAAAATATAATATAATATAATATAATAACAAATAAGTTTATTCTTAAAAAGATAACTAAAAAGATAACATAATTTACAAAATAATTTAAAAATAGAATTCCTTCCTCTATAAATAATTTATAAAATATAATTTTTCTTGTTGAATAAGACAATTGATGATGTTTTAATAAAATAGAATTTATTTTATTTCAACTTATTATACAAATAGCCAAGAAAAGATTTATTGATTTTCAAAAGTCCTCATACCACACTCATTCGTTTATACCTGTATATAAAGTTAATTCTTTCTTTTTCTATTATCTCTATCCTCATAACGCGTTCTTCTTTTTCTAATCTTCCCTGTTTATTGTCTTACTCTACAGACTCTACTCACCTAAACCTATATACTTATAACTTCGCTTATATACCTGTATATTCATTTACATAATCCTCCTTCCTAACTTATCTTATGATGATGTTTTAATAATATTTAAAGCACAACGAATATTTATGATATGTTAGTAGAATTGCACAATTGTATTTTTTCTAAAATCCTAGATTACTAAACTATTATATTTATTATATTATGTTTTACTGGTTTTAATTTTCCATGAATTCTATTTTATATCTTTTCTTATAAAATATTGCAATAATTAAAAAAAACTTTAGCAATATATATTATCTATATGTACTTACAGAAAAAATAAAGGTATGATGTATGTAAAAAATATAAACCTGTTTCCTTTTGTAAAAATAAATCAAGTATTAAATGAAAAAAAAATATCAAGCCATTTAAACCCATTAATTGGAAATTGTTTGTAATAATAACTGTATGACAAAATTTGTTCTTTTTTTTGTATCACGAGTGCGAATAGTCACTTTAGACGTATTTTTACCTACTAAAGATGAATCTGTTGACAGAAGTTGACCATCACTTCACAAATTTAAGGAAATTGGCCTCAAAGAGGCCAAAAACGACGATTTTGAGATTTTCAAGATGTTGCAGCACCGGCAGCAAATTTTTTTATTTAATTTCATTAATGCCATTAGAAA